GCTTTATTCTTTAACACAGCCTAGACTCTTTAAAGTTGAAATGTATTCATCACACATTGCTTTGAAACTGACACACGCTTACAGATGTTCCAGAAATCAGTTGCTAAGGTAACCTACCAATATAATTACTACAAGGTCATATGTTAATCAACAGTACTCATTATTTCATTATTTCAGTAGTTGCTTCAGCCTCTCACTCGGGAGTTGAGAAAATTTATGTCAAGTGCAACCTACTTTCTACAGTATCGGGTCACCATATTGCTTCCAGTGTGTACGCAGCTTTAGAAAAGCTTTCTTGTCATTTCTTCAGGAAAGTAGTCTTCAGGAATAGTTCTCCAGGCTTCTTGAAGGACATTCAAAGCTCTTCTTTGGATGTTTGATGAAAGATGAAAGAAAAAACACTCAAAAAACCCACCAAAAAACAAGAATGTATGGCTCCTTCGAAGCAAAATATAATGAAATGGGCGGTCGTTCAAGACTTTAGCGCAGAACTATACTTTTATCGGGGCGATCGTGGCTCAAGAGTTGGGAGTTCGCCTTGTAATCGGAAGGTTGCCGGTTCGAGCCCCGGCTCGGACAGTCTCGGTCGTTGTGTCCTTGGGCAAGACACTTCATCCGCTGCCTACTGGTGGTGGTCAGAGGGCCCGGTGGCGCCAGTGTCCGGCAGCCTCGCCTCTGTCAGTGCGCCCCAGGGTGGCTGTGGCTACAATGTAGCTGCCGTCACCAGTGTGTGAATGGGTGGATGACTGGATATGTAAAGCGCTTTGGGGTCCTTAGGGACTAAGTAAAGCGCTATATAAATACAGGCCATTTATACTTTTTTTTATTTTCTTCAAAGATTGCTGAAAGAATAAGGCTATATCTGTCGTATACATCCATAAAGTTAATAAAGTGTGCCCAGAGATGACTACTGTCGGGACAATCACATTGAACTAAAAATAACATTGAACTGAAGTGAGTATAAACAATGAGCATAGTTTGAAGAGTGAAGTCGCTCAGGAAGTGCTTTAAACCTGCATTCTTTCTAAAGACAAGCCAGAGGTGACTCTTCTGGTTCCAGGAAAGGCATGCAACGGTACAAAAACTGCTACTTTCCTCTCTTGTTTTATGCCCTCCATAAAAAATTTCTTCAAGGCTTTATGTTATCAGTCAATAGTTTCAAGTAATTTTTAACCAAGCAATATGTTTACTTTGTAAATGACAATTGCATGTAAAAATACTTTTGAAAAACTAGTTGTTACTGTATGAGTGCCATGCATTCTCTTGCAAAAGAGCAAGATAGCAAAAAAAGAGTCCACCCATCCATTTTCTTCCACTTATCCAATTTGGGGTTACAGTAGGGCTGGAACTACTCCCAGGTGTCACAGGTTAAGAGCAGTGGATACCCTAGATAGGTCACCAATTTGTTGCAGGGCTAACACAAAGAAACAGACAAGCATTCACAAACCTACGCCCGATTTAGAGTATCTTTGGACTCAGACACGGGCCCCACACAGAAAGGCCCCGGCCAGCTGGTGGATTCAAACTCAGGAATGGCTTGTTCTGGGGCAGTGGTGCTAACCACCACACCACTAGGCGAGGTCAAAGTGGCATTTATTACCTGCTAACACACATGGATTTGGAATACATACAGCTCTAATTGCAGTGTGGTGTACTAACTGCCCCCTCAATGATTGGGGGTAGTGAGTTACTTTGGTAAGCCTGTCAAACTAGACAGCTTTTCTTTTTCTTCAGCAACTGTGTTACTTTCAGTCTTTGTTACACGTGCCTCATTATGTGGTTTGCACTTCTTGTGAGAGAACTGCAGCTTTATACCTGTCTGCTTTCTTTTTTAAAATTTCAAAAACCTGGGTTTACTCGCCAGGTTATTAATCACAATGGTGTGACCGCTTCACTGCAGTCTTTCGGCACAGAGAAGTCAGGAAACAATTGGTTGGAGTCTTCTTATTTCAAGGTTTAGCTGTGAAATCAACAGTTGAATCACAAAAAAAAAAAAAAAAAAATGACAAAGGATGAACTGAAGCTCTGCCATCACGTAATGTCGCATACTGCTGTTTCTGATGTCATTTAAAAAAAAACAAAAAAAAACAAAAAAAAAAAAACAGTTGAATCACAGCAAATATGTCAATCTTTTCAGAAGTCATCTACACAAAAGCACGGAGTTAATGACACTTGCTCTCTAGCCTTGGATATTCTGAATGACTACAACAGCAGACAGTAACTTTGATCAGAAGCAAAACAATACCCGAGGTGTCACAGAATGCTCTGCCTCGATTCATAATTAAATTCCAGGAACTGCATCCCATTATGCACTCATACCCTGGGTCAGGGTGTTAGCCTGACAAAGAATGAAAAGGACGGAAGCAACACTATGTAGTACGTAACATTACATGTAGGACTTTCCGAAGCTTAACAACTCTAAACGGGAGACACGTGTGTGGCGGCTGGATATGCAGATTGGAGAGCAAATTGAGAGAGGAACATCCTGCTTTAAACCTAAATGACTGCTGCCATCCATCACGCCTCGCACTGCACGACTCATGTTTGTCTTTGCGTATGTTTAGGTGTGTTGGTTTGCACTGCGCATTTCCATAATTGCATTTGCTGTGGGAAGAGAAGCACTTACTCTCATTTTCGGCTGTGATTTATCAACCCGAGCGATTCGAGCCAATGCACACACTCATTTATCTCTGCGATGACCTTTTTCCCCAGCAAAAGGAACGGCTGCCATCTTTGTTTTTTTGTTTTTTTTTTCTTCCTCTTTTTTAAGCTGCTTCTTACCCCTTGCCATGGAAGCGAGTATGGTTTTGACATTGATGGCATGCCATTCAGGAATAATTAGTATTTCAAGAAAAGGCTTCTTTCAGTTTGTCACTTGTGTGGCTGTTATTATGGAGAAAGTGAATAATGGATGCTGGGAGAAACAAGTAAAAATAGAAGCTTTGTGTCGCTTCGGTTAAACTGGATTGAATATAATGTCAGCGAGTCTGAGGGAGGTACTGAAGACAGAAAGAAAGTACAAACTAAAAGATTTGACCTGAAAACTTCAAGGTCCTGGCTTCCAAAATAACCAAAATAAAAGTGTTTACTGATTTCCCTTGAGATAATAATGTGAGTACAAGGTGAATGTGCATTTGTTGTTTGAGGGTCGCTCTCTTTGAGGCTTCACAGAGCGTGAAAATAAAATCTTGTCAAAAGGAAAAGATCCGGATCAATCACTCTGTAATGTACAGCAGTGGCACCAATGAATGGCTGTAATTGCAACATTTCATATAAGGCAGATGGGAATGCTTTAATTTTAACGGTGCAACATATACGAGTAATTAGCCGTTACTGTCTGCTGTTGCTTTTTTGTAGTCCGCGGCAATAAGAACCAAGACTTGGTTTTTGTTTATATATATAAAAAATAAAGTGACATTTTAATGGTCACCATGACAACAAAAGCTGGTATTTTCTCTGTAGCTCCAGTTAAGCGACTCCATGACCTCGTGGGGTTTGACGGAGAATTTTAGGACACCTTTCCTTCATTAAAAAAAAAACAAAACTCATTAGTGAAACTCCTTAGAGTTGACATTTGGCAAATCCGTGGCTCTCACTAGAGAGAAATTGTAGTCATTTCATAGCCAAAGATGCATTTCAAACCACAAGAACACACAGCCACGAATAAAGATTTGTGGATTCAAATGACACGTTTGTTTCTTCTCCTCATCTTCTTCTTCGGTCGTGGGTGAACTCAGTGAAGTGTGGTGCTGCGTTTTGCTGCACAGTGACTGCAGTGTTTTGATTCACACCACTGACTGACTTTCTCCCATAGCAACAGTGCCCGAGGCTCACTGGTAGAGCCATCTGCCGCGCCACAATGAGAGACAAAATGTGACTTCTTCGAAACAAAGCTTTAATGAAATTGAATGAAGCGATGCTTCCATAAAACCAGCAGCGCCTCCGTCTTCACCCCTCTGTGCATTACCAGTACGTGCACTGTTTTATTTGGCCCAGGACACACAATCTGTGGTTGACTCTCTAATGATTGGATTCTTTTAAGTCAGTTTTTGTACCTGTGATTATAATCAAAATACAATTTAAGTAGCTCCCATCCATATACATATGAATACTGTCAAATCTGTGTCTCATCTGTAATGTAGAGTGATCAGTTGTGACAATAAACTCAGGCATGTGACATAAGAATCGAATAAGATCAGTTGTGGAAATTGCCTTAACACATATCACCCACCTAAAAATTGTAGCAGAACAAGTAACAATAGCAGTGACACTCCCCGATGACTGTGGTCTCTCAGAAGACTATCCAGGTAGATCCTGAGCTGAAAACCTAAGGGTGTTTTTCCCTCTTCATTCCAGCAACACAACAAACACAGTAAACTAGACAAAAGACTCACACGGATGAACTTTCCACAGGATTCACCTTTACAGAAACACATAGGCCAGGGATGTCAAACTCATCCACTTTAACTGATAAAACTGCCCAGACATTTCTGTCATTTAATGGTTTATCTATTACTGAACTATTTTCGTGTGGTATGAATGGCAGTGTCTGTATCAATAGGCAAAGCTGTAAAACTTATGAAAATACAGTTAGGAGTTTAAAATCTGTGCACTTCTTCACATTTTCCAAAGCCTTCCAGTCGGCCAGATCGGAGTCTTTGCCGGCCTTATTCTGGGCCCTGGGCCTTATGTTTGACACCCCTGACATAGGCCTTACCTAAACACCCACAAAAGCAAGAAGTGCCAGACACACCCAGACGTCACATGAGCCTGTTAAGCAGCACTAAGGGGACTTGCACAGTATTAGGCAGGTGTTTTAATGTTTTGGCATATGGCTGTAAATGCATTTGGTATGCAACCCCAGTAAATTTCCCATAAATCCTTCCTGCCTAAGTCATATCCTTTGAGCACGACACTCATGCCGTAATTCCAGCCTATGCTGTACGATGATGAACACAAACACACACGCACAGCCAGATGGGCTTTCTGGCAGCTTCTACCTTGTCTCCGTCCACGAAGGTCTGACCGTCGCTGGCTCTTCTCCAGGAAATGTCAGGCAGAGGCTCGCCCTCAGCCACGCAGGAGATCATGGCAGCGCTGCCCTCTACGGCTGTCACGTTTTTCAGCTGGGTGATATGGGGCTGGACTGGAGATCACAGAGGACAAGCGGGGGAGAGAAGGTAAATAAGAGAAAAAAAAGTGAGTAGAGGAGAACAGATTTGAAGGCCAGAAGAAAAGGTGTGAGTAAGGAAGGAGAAGTGAATAAAAGGATGAGCAGGAGAGAAACTGTCAAAGATCTAACTCATAAAGTGAGTTAGAAGATGAAGGCTATACCATGGGGTTTAAACACCGAGCTGATGCATGACTTTGGTACTGACAGTGTAGGCCAAGATAATTTATACAGTGCAGTCATACTCTACAGGTTTGATATAGTGAGAAAGCATGGCCTCTGGCCTATTTTGCACACACTCATTGGACTAGATGAGAAAACTGACTTTGCTAAAGTTTGAAAGAACAAATCAACTGATCCACGTTTTTTATTTTAAATGAATACAGATTTCTGTCTGGAAGGATGCCTCTCCAGCACTGTGTGATTTGCTTTTGGCACAGAGTGAGCACCGCGATAAGTGCTGAAAAGCGTGCCGTTGGGGGCTGGTCCCTGCTCGCCTCCCCCTGATAAGATGCTCTAAGCAAGCCCTGAAACCTGATGCATGTCAAGGGCATAGAGCATGTCACATGAATCATGGATTACTTCTTTTTTCCCCCCACACACACTGCACTTACGTTGTTAACAGGGTGCTTGCAAAGTAGCATGGCATAAAATCCGAAAGGCAAAGGGAAGTGAACAGGAAATAGTGACTACTGTACTGAAGGCTTTTAACACCGCCCGGGGGGAAGTGTTTGGCAATTTCACATGGCTTCAACCTCGAGGTGAAGGAGCCATCTTGAGGGATTTTGGGAGCTTGTCAAAACATGGGGGTCACAAAAACATACACACAGGCAACCAGGCAAATATTCCTCTGCCTACAAGGACTTTTAGTAAGTGACCAAACTGC